AAATCGTCTTCTGTGCCGTGCACTCGGACCAGCAAGTCCGCGGCCATGGCGCTCGACTGATGTCGGCTTTGGCGTCGCACGCGCGCCGGCATACCCCCCTGCGGTATTGGCTCACCTATGCCGACAACCATGCAGTCGGGTACTTCCGCAAGCAGGGCTTCACCACGAACATCACCCTGCCTCGGTTCCGCTGGGCCGGCCGCATCAAGGACTAAGATCGGAAGAGCACACGTCTATGCCGACAACCATGCAGTCGGGTACTTCCGCAAGCAGGGCTTCACCACGAACATCACCCTGCCTCGGTTCCGCTGGGCCGGCCGCATCAAGGACTATGATGGCGGTACGCTGATGCAGTGTGCCCTGCTTCCGCTCGGGGCCACGGCCCCGGGTGGGGTTCTTGGCAGCCTGGCGGCCCCGGTTCGGCCGGATCTGCCCCTCGAGCACTTGAATGCCGATTTGCTGGACGGGGCCACAGCGGCGGACCCCTTCGGGCTTGGGGTGTCCTTGTCGGGGCCCGGGGCTTCGCCCACCGCCGTCACCGGGCCCGCGGCCATTGCCGCTGCCTCGAAGGAGGAGAGCCAGAACGATTATGCTCACTGGCGATCGGTGGTCCAGCGTCAGAAGAAGTATGTCCATGCGGCCATTCGCATGATGGGCCAGTCGCATATGGTCCATGCTGGGCTGGAGTTCGCCCGGCTCGGGTCTGGCATGTGCGAGGAGGTGCCGGGGTACTCTGGGGTTCCGGCTCGTGTGGGAGCCCTCCCGGCCGGGCACCCAAGCCCGGGGGATGATCCGACCGAGGCGGCGGCGAGCATCACCGCCTCGGCGGCGGCCGAGCCAGGCTCCGACGGGGCGGGGGCCGCCCCGCTGGCCGGACTGTCGCCGGCCGTGCTGGATGCCCTGGTTGCCGAGCACCGAGCCCGGCCCTTGCGCGACCCGGCCGCCACCTTTCCCGTTCGTCGTGTGTCCATTGCTTCGATTCCGGGCATTGGTGCGCATTTTCCCCAAGGCACATCCCCTTGCCTGTTGGCCTGCCGCTTGCCTTTTTTTTTCTCCCTCTTCTCCTCTCTCCGCCTTCCTGCTTCCCCCTCTGCAATCGCCTGCTCCCCTCTCTCTCTCTCTCTCTTTGCAGTCCCGGTGCTGACACCCGAGGATCGCCGCAGCTGAAGCTGGCTGGGAGTCAACGGATTTGCCAGCCCGGCGCCCTGGGCCCGACCCGTGGGCCGACCGCCGGGGAGCTGGCCCGCGGTCTCCCCTCCGCGCGGTTCTTCGTCGTCTGCTCCGTTTGATTCAGGTGCGCCTTCTTGGAGACGATGCCTCGGGCTTGGTGACAATGCCCGGTGCTGACGCCGTTTCCCCTCTGTTGGCCATTCGGACACACCCAATCCCAGTCCAAGAGTTTCTCTTGGCCCTTCCGCCAGCCGGTCAACGTCGAGGACGTCACCGACTATTTGGATGTCATCAAGGAGCCAATGGGTGCGTGGCTTCCAGGCGCTCCCTGCCTCGCGTCCCCTTTTTTTGCCAATCCCTCCCTCTCTCTCCCTCTCTCTATATATATATATATGTATATCTCCGCCTCTCCCTCTCTATTTTGTCTTCGCTTTCTCACCGACACATTCGGCCTCCGGCACCGGAACATTCTTCTCGCCTTGGACCTTCCACTCTCTCTCTCTCTGTTTCTCTCTCTCCCTCTACCTTGCCTCCTCCCCCCTGACACCCACTTTCACTCTTACCCCTCCCTTGCACCTCCTTTCTGGCTTTCTTGTATTCCCCCCCCCCCCCTCCCCCCTCTTCCCCCGGAAATGCACGGTCTGACTGGAGGACAGACCTGCGCACCATGGAGGAAAAGCTCAACTCGGAGAACCCGGTGCACTACCAGTCGATCGACGCCTTCCATCGAGATCTGTCGCTCATTTTCGAGAACTGCTGGAAGTACAACCTCGAGTCGACGACCTACTACAAGTGCGCCACGGAACTGCATGACTTCGCCAAGGTCGCCATACAGGAGGCTGCTCGTGATTTGGACCGGTTGACGCGAAGCCTCGGCCTGCAGCCCGGCGGGCCGCGGTCGATGCAGGCACTAGCCGGGTCCGGACGCCCGCCATCACGCGTGCACCCGACCGCCGACTTCCTGCCCCCGGCGGGCGGCGGGGACCTCGGGGACGGGCTTTCCCCCTCGGATCCGCGCTTCTCCATACAGGTGGACTCGTCGCCGGTCGACCGGCACTCTTTCGAGGATGACTTCTCGCCGCTGCCCGGGGCCATCAACAAGCGCCGGCATTTGTCACTGGGAGCCGATGGCGACCGCTCCGGCCATGGCGGCGGGGCGCCGGCTGCCCACCACCATCACCACCATCACCACTCTCACCACCATCACTCGCCGTCGTCCGGCAAATCGCGTGACCCGCGGAAGGGCCGGTCCAAACGCGGTGTCCGCGGCCCGGGCCCCGGCGGCCCGGCCGGCGGCATGCTCCATCCCGATGAGGGATTCTCCGACACGGATACATACTACTCGGATGATCCGATCGATGTGAGTGAGTCCTCCGGCGGAGGTGGTGGTCGTGGGGCGGCCTTCGCCGGGGCCGGGGGTCGGTCTCGGCGCCCGCGCAAACGCCTGCTCGACGAGTCGGATGAGGATTTCTCGGACTCGCCTTCCTCGGCCCCGCGTTCGGATGACTCCTTCAGCGATGTGGGCCATCGGCACCGGCGCATCCGCCGGGCTGTCGACGCGGAATATGCCACCGATGAAGAGTCCACCAGTGGGCACTACTCCAGCAGGCACTCGGCATCCGGCCACGATGGGCACCGCTACCATTCGGCATCGCAGACGTCGCATGGGGGCCACCACTCGGATCGGGAGCACACCGGGCGTGGCCGACCCAGTCGGCCGCATTCGCCGCCTTGAAAAGGGACAGTCGCGGCATTGGGCTCCGCCCGCCAACTTGACCGAAGAAACAAGGATGCACGTTTATGCGCGATGTGGCCGTGGCGAGCAAAAGGGTCCAGGGCGGGAGAAGAAGGTGATATATGAAGAAGCGCATGGCCCTCGGCCGGGCAGAAAAACGGGGGGAGAGCCCTCGCCAGGGGGGAAGAGTGAGGGGGAGAGAGAGAGAGAGAGGGAGAGAGACAAGTCGAGGATGACAACGAAAAGCCAAGAAGAGAAGAAAGACATGCGCGCGAGGATGCAGAGGAATGGGGGGAAACTTTTGGAGACGTGTATTATGGAGTGGCTGGCAAACAGGAGGGGAAGGACAACGAGCAGGGGCCCAGGGGGGGGGGGGAGTAAGGATGTGTGCAGGAGCGCGTGCGCGCGCGCGCGCGCGCGCATGGCAGACATGAGGGGGCGAGAGGGTGCGCGTGGATGTGAGTCTCCTTGTCTGCTTCGGCCTATCTTCCCCCGGGGCCACTTTTCTCGTCCTTCACACACACACAGAGAGGGGGAGAGGGCAGGGGGGCCGGGTATCGAAAGGGAAGGGAGGCAGCAGAGGGGGGAGAGGGGATCCTTGCGCGGAGGTCTATATGCCCGCAGGTGCGGCGCGCGACCATACGCCGGTGTCCCGGCCCCCGCCGCCTCTCCCTGCCGTGGCCCACGCTCATCCTTGTGGAGGAGGAGGAGGAGGATGATGAGAGGGACACAGAGGGAGGGGGGAGGGAGAGGAGCACCGGACGACAGGAGGAGGAAGAGAGAGGGGGTCACACAGGTGTGATGCATGCGCATGCATGCGCGTGCGCGTGTGTGTGTGTGTATGTGTGTGTGTGCGCGCGCGCGCGTCGCAGCACACCACGCGCCGGTGGCCCGCCCCCCGCGCGTGTCACATGCGTCGCATGTGCATCTAGTCCTTGTTCTTCTTGCTCTTCTTGCTCTTCTTCTTGTCGGACTCGTCGGCGTCATCCTCGGCGCGGCGCTTCTTGTCCTTCTTCTCGGACTTCTCCTCCTTCTTGTCCTTCTTCTCCTTCTTCTCCTTCTTCTCCTTCTTGTCCTTCTTCTCGGACTTGGGAGTCTCCTCCTCGGAGGAGGAAGAAGAGGAAGCCGGGGCGTCCTTGGCCAGCTGGTGAATGACACCCTGCATGACGTCGATGTTCTTGGCCGGGGCCTGGCCGGTCTCGTAGAACTTCAGGCGGTCCTCGACCTGGTTGCGGAGAGCCTCACCGAACTTGGTGGTAGCCGCGTCGGAGAAGCAATCGATACGGGCAGCCAGGGAGGTCTTGTTGGCCAGGTAGCGCGAGATGCGGCCCTTGTTCTTGGAGCCAGCACGGCCGATGAAGGACGAGTGGAAGATGAGGCCGTACTTGGGGGTGTTGCCGCGGGTCTTGAGGGCGCTGTAGAGGGGGGGCGGGGCACGGAGCGAATGTGAGTTTGCGAGGACGAAGAGAGAGAGAAAGAGAGAGAGAGGGGGAGAGGGCGAATGCAGTGACGGCCAGAGAAGGTACACGCATGGCTATGTGCATGTATGCGATGAGAGGCCGGGCGGCCGGGCGTGGGGGGTGAAAGTGCGCACCGGAAGAGCGCCTTCTCGGCACCAAGAATCTGGACGGTGGAGGCCGGGTACTTGGAGAGGTTGGTGAGGGAACCAGCGTGGGAGATGAGGCTGGAGGGGGAGGGGGGCGAGAGAGGAGCGACGAAAACAACAGTCAGAGGGGGGGAAAGAGCAAAAAAAAAACACCGAAGCGAAGGTGGACGGGGGGGGGAAGGGGGAAAGAAAGACAGACGCGCGGCGGTGAAAAAGGGAGAGCGAAGGAAGACATACCGGGCACCGACCATCTCGCCGATCAGGGCGCACAGGTTCGGGGCGACGACGTTCATCTTGGACTGGAGGTAGTCGTACAGACCGCGGCGGTAGGCCGACAGGGAGATCACACGGTTGGCAAAGGCCTCGATGTTGATCATGTCGATCTGGGAAATGTCGGTACCCATGGAGGACTTGGCGGCATCGATGATGCTCTGGGCCTTGGCCTCGTCCATGACGATCTCCTCGATGGCGGCATGGCTGTCCTGAGTGAGGGTGGCCTTGTCCTTGATGAGGCTGACCAGCTTGGCGAACATGGAGTTGTCGGCGACGAGCTTGGTCAGCTCGGGGAAGTGCCAGGAGTACCACTCGCGCACGCGCATGGAGAAGGTGTTGAGGTCCTTGTCCAGCTGGTCGAGCAGCGAGATGGCCTGGATGATCATGTTGTCCGAGCGGTTGATGTTGAACTTGAGCTTGGCACGGGAATAGGCATGACCCAGACCGAGCTGAGCCTTCTCGAGGTCACCCTCTGTAGCAGCACGGGAGGAGGGGCGGGGGGAGAAGGAGGGAAGCCGATTAGTCAGAGGGGAGGAACGACGAGAGGAGAGGCGCGAGGGGCAGGGTAGCGGAAAGGCGCGCGATTGCGGCGATGATGACGATGATGATGAGGGGGAAGGGGGGGGGGTGCGGGTGCAAATGTGCGCACGGGCACGTACCGCGGAACTGCTTGATCAGCTTCTCGAAGTGCATGCGGATACCACGGAGGAGCTCGGTGGTGACGTCGCTGACGTCGCACGAGATACCGGTGGCATCAGAGATGGCACCACCCAGGCGAGCCTCCTGGACACCGAGCTTGACCTTCTTGGACTTGGCCAGGTTGGCGGTGAGGAAGTTCTTGAGGTAATCGTTGACGATACCTGTGTGTGAGAGGAAGGGGGAGAGAGAGAGAGAGAGAGAGGCGCCGGCGTGCAAGCGTGTGCAAGGACACGGCAGAGCGGGGAGGGGGGTCAGAAATGAGGTCCAACAGGCGAGGAGAGCGCAGAGGTACGGAAGGTGAGGGGCGGGGGGGGCGGGCGACAAAAGGCAGAAGCACATACCCTCGGTGATGTCGTTGATGTTCTCCAGGGCATGGGCGGCCGACTGGAAGGGGGCGAAGGACTTCAGCTTGAGGACCTTGCCGGCCTTGGAGAGGTCCTGCATGGCGGTCTGGACCGACTCGAGCTCCTGGCCGATCTCCTCGGAGGCGGTACGCTCGAAGAGAGCGTAGCCAGAGGCGCTTTCGAAGAGGAGGAAGAGGGACATGGCTGTCTGTGTACGGGGGAGGGGAGAGGGCAGGGGGAGGGGGCAGATGGCGGTCAGTGGCAAGATGGATGGCGGAGAGAAGTGGGCGTACGCACACCTGCACAAGCGAGTGGGGAGAGGGGGGTGCACGGAGAGCAGAGAAACAGAGAGGGAGAGAGAGGGGGAGATGGAAAAAGGGAGGGGAGGGAGGCAAGGAAGGCAAGCGACAAAAGACAGCAGGAGAGGAGGGGGAGGGGGAGAGAGAGGTACAGATAGAAGACACAAGGAAGAGATTGTGAGTCCTGTCTATGCTGTGTGAGACCGAACACCAGTGGTGAAGGCAGCCCTACGCTCGGAGAAAAAGCTCGACGAATCTGCCTACCCTCCCTGTCCGGTTGCGCGCCAGCCGACGCCGGGTGTCGGGCGCCGGGCAGCAGGGGACAAGGGTGCGTGGCTCATGCAAACGGTTC